ATTGAAGTAATTCTTGATTCTGCTTTCTCTCGCATCCCGCTAGCAGCATCGATTTCATCAGCAAATCTTCTCAGCCCAGCCTTCAGAATACATTCAGAGCCTGACTTCTTTTCTCTTCCACAATGTCTGTCTAATATAGTAAGACATTTCTCAGTGGGGTGATTTTGTCCCCAAGGGGATATTTGGCAACATCTGGAAGCATTTTTGGTTGTCACGACTAGGGAAGGGGCAATGCTACTGGCGTCTAGTGGGTAGATGCTGCTAAACATCCTCCAGGGTACAGAGCAGCCCCCACCACAAAGAATCATCTAGCCTAAAGTGTCAACAGTGCCAAGGTTGTGAGACCCTGCTCTAACACACACCACTGGCATATCCTGCCTGGACCACCTCCTAACTGGTGTCCTAGTTTCCATGCCTGCGCTTCTAGATGTGTTCTCTCTGCAGTGATCAGGGCATGCTTTTGAAAGGTAAGTCACATCCTGTTTCTCTCCTGCTCTCATCTTCCCATTAGAGTGAAAACCCACAAGGCCTTTGGGAACAGGCCGCAGCTGCCTCTCAGCACCCCTCCCTCTCTCACTCATTCTGCCTCAGTCACACTGGCCTCCTGGCCGTTCCTGGAACACACTGAACCTGCTGCTGCCCCAGGGCCTTTGCATTTGCAGTTTCTTCGGCCTGGAGCTCCCTTCCCCCAGGTATTTTCATGACTCCCTCTCTTACCTCATTCAAATTTCGGCGCAAATGTCACCTCCTCAGAATGTCCTTTCCTGACCACTTTCTCCAAACTAGCAGTGCCTGTCACTCGCCACCCCCACAATCCTGTTCAGTCTGATGCTCCCATGGACCTCAGAGCCACAGCCCTGACTGTAGAGGATGAGCAGGTGGTCTAAGCGCCAGTTGGTCAAGTCACACTCAGTCTCTTGCAAAGAGTTCATGTAGCCTTTTACTTCTGCTTCAAGCAATGTAGTCTATGTACCTTGACCCCAACAAAGGCACACGTTCGTGGGGCCTTTGTCCCAGGTCTCACTGCGACATGGCCATACCCACAGATGGCAGAGGATGTGGCCACACCCTCTTCCCTGAGCCCCCCCCCTCCACCCCACCCCGGCCCCACGCCATCACAGCCCTTCTATCTATTTCCTCCCTGGCACCCTGGCCCCGGGGCCCACACCCTTGTGTGTGCAGTTTACAGTTGAAGCATCAGTTGTCCAAGGCTTCAGCTCCTGAGGTTGGAAGAGAGGAAAGCCTTAGGAGAGGAAAAGGCAACCCCACCCTTCCCAGTGGGAAGGTTAACCTTTCATGCTAACGGAGTGTCAGCACCTTCCCAGCCTTGAGTTACATTCCCAAAGGTCCCCTTCCATTGTCCTGCAGGGAACACCCATCCCTCCATCCTGTCATTGCTGAAGACTGATTACCCTTAGTCCTTCAGGGGTCCCCACTACCCTCTGGATCAACGACAAACTGTCTGGCCTGACACTTCAGTTCCTGCACCCTGTGTCCCTCACTGACTCAGCCGGTCACGTCCCTGGCCTGTTTCTGCTTTATGCTGCAGCCACAGGAAATGCCCCACTTGCAGTTTCCTCTGTGCACCATCTCTCATCCCCCCTTGGAGGGGTCACCCAGCAGGTCCACCATGCCAACTTCCGCCTCTCCTCTAGGCCTCCTCTGGGGCTGCCTCCTCTGAGAAGGCTCTCCTGCACCCCGACTACACCTGGTGCCGACCCACCGCCACCAAGGCCCTCTGAGAGCAGGCTGGATTTGTCTGATGTCTCTGTCTCCTGTGAGACTGGGAGCTCCTCTAATTGCTCCGGGCCAGGACGGGGAAGTGTGGTGCCGTGGAATCATCCCAAGCCTCCGCCCGGGCAGGTTTGGCTGTGAATCCTGCCTGCGTCAGGTACTAGCCACGTGACCCTGCGAGACTCAAAGGTGCATTGCACATGTACTCTATTCTAAGTCACATTAGGTGCTCAGCTTCCATTTACCTTCTCAGAGCTACAGTGTCCTCACATACAAAGTGGAGCTGCTCCTGTGGGTTGAATTGTGTTCCCTAAAATTTTTTTGTTGAAGTCCTAATTCCCAGTACCTCAGAATGTGACTTCTATTTGGGAATAGATTCAATGTAATTAGTTAAGCTGAGGTCATGCTGGAATAAGGTGGGCCCTTAATCCAATATGACTGGTGTTCTTATAAGAAGAGGACAAGGTGGCTGGGTGCCGTGGATCATGCCTGTAATCCTAGCACCCTGGGAGGCCAAGGTAGGAGGATCACTTGAGGTCAGGAGTTCAAGACCAGCCTTACCTGGGGTGACAGAGTGAGACTCTGTCTCAAAAAAAAAAAAGAAGAGGAAAAGAGATACACAGGGAGAAAGTGGCCATGTGACAACAGAGGAAGAGATTGGAGTGATGCACCCACAAGCCAAGGAATGCCAGCCACTGCCGGCAAATCCAGAAACTAGAAGAGGTAAGGAAGGACACTCACCTATAGGTTTCAGAGGGAGCATGGCCCTGCGGCCACCTTGATTCCAGACTTTTAGCCTCCAGAACTGTGAGACAATACATTTCTGTTGTTTAAGCCACCTAGTTTGTGGTACTTTGTTAAGGCAGGTAATGTAGGTAAGATCCCATTAGGCTATAAACTTCATGAGTTAGGGGCCACGTCTGCTTTTCTTGTTACTGCATACTTGATGCTTGGCAGCTAGTGGTGTATACAAGAGTAACATTTGGAAAGAACGTGCCAGTTGTCCCTATTCTGTCCTCTATGGCAGCCTTCCCTCCCCAGTTCCAGGAGCCAATCAGGGTTGAGCATTTAGTTGTCACGGTCATGCCACACCTATCTACTTCGATCTTTAGCCTTTTTCTTTCATTCTTCACCCTATTGAAGAGTAGAGGCCGGAGGCTTTGGAGAATATCCTTTTACTTGGGCTTGGCTTACAGCTCCCCATGATTAGATTCACGTTATGAGTTTTGGCAGGAATCCCATGACTTGGGGTCCTTCCTGCTGCCCCCCACCAGGAGTCACATGATGTCAGTTTATCCCACTAATGGTTGCATTAACTTTGACGACGTAGCTTAAATGGTGTCTGATAGATTTGGATTCTTATTTTATTGCATGTGTAGTCCATTATTGCCATCATTTATTTCAATGCACAGTTGTCCCCAGTTTGGCCGGTGGGACCCCCGTTCCAACTGGCCCCTGTGTTGTCTGGTCATGTCCCGATCAGTTTGTGAGTATTTTTTTGGCATAAAAAGATGTTCCAGGTGTACCTTGTACTTTCCTGGCCCTAAATCAAGATCAGCCATTTCTCCAAGGAGCCCTGGGTCCAGCTTTTAGAGGGAAATAGTACAATATTTAGCAATCGATACCTGGGCTCTAAGAAGCTTTAAGGAAAGTGCTTTGGGTGGACTTTCACCCTGTGGGTGCATTCTGGCCACCAGGGGGCAGAACATTTCAGAAAAATGCAAAAGACCTAGAATCTGGGCTGGGCTGGGGCTAGATTGTCCACATGCCCACCCCAGGGGTCTCTAGTCCTCCTTCCCGAAAAAGGGGACCACAGGCCCTATCCATACACCCCGTGTGCATACAGACTCCCCCATCCCCACCCCACAGGTACATGCCTTGTTCCTCAGAATCACTCACTGATTTCTTCCCATCTTGTTTGTCTGAAGCCCTCTGGGAGGTTAGCAGGATAGGGGTGATAAGAAGCTTCAGAGAGGCCCTGGTGTGCCAACCACAGCCCAGAGCACTCTATTCCTAGCACCGTCAGCCACACCACTGTGGGTAACATGCACACAAAGGCCCTGAGCTCTGAGCTTCCACCTGGTCCCCTCTGCCAGCAAGCCTGCCCCATCCACCCACCCACGTCCATCAGTCAGAGGAAACTGGGGGAGTCATCTCTTCCCTCCGTTTATTTACTTTCCAACAAGTAAACCAGAGTAGTATTCAAAACAAAAATGCCAGGGAATGTCAGGCAACTTAAATGTATGGTTCAATTCCTTTGGAAGAAAGCATTTGCACATGAAGGCACACAACCACCCCTAGGAATGAACCGCTATTGATTTTTGTATTCTTCCTGCTCTGCCAAAGGAGTTTCACCTGGGCGCCCGCACAGAGTAGGCCGTCAGTGAGTGCTGTGCCTGTCAGTCCTTCACCATCTCCTACCTGGACTATTACAATAGACCCGACTCTTGTCATCGGTCCCTCTTCCCAGCCAGAGCTGAGCAGCTCATTCACCTGTTTCAGTACCCTTCCTCCTTCACCCCCAGGGCAAAGTCCAGCATCTCAGCCTGGCACCTTCAGGACCCTGCCCTGCCCACCTCCCCAGCCTCCTAAATTACCACTCTGGCCCCCAGGGACCTGAGGCTTCAGCAGTTCTGAGCTCCATGGGCATTGCCCCAGCCCCCCTCCCCCCAGCACCCCTTCTTCACCTCTGTCCACACAGCCACCTCTGTCCGAACTCAACTCCCATTCCTCCACACCCCCCTGTAAAATTGGGCAGAGGCCCATAAAATTCCTCTTGTCTCCTAATGGATACCTCCTCCTTGTTCTTGCACCTGGAATAAGCTCCCTGCCATCTCTGATTTAATCCTCCCCACCCTTCAATAATGGCCTTTCTCCCGTCTCCCCTATAGACCTGTGACTGCTCTCCAACCCTGGGCCATGAGCTGCCTAAGGGCAGGACCAGCAAAGGGAGGGAATGGAGGGCAGGACGGACTGGGAAGGGGTAAGAAATTGTGTCTGAAGAGGCTGCCAGCACATGCTTTGCAAACTTTAACGTGAATACGGGTCACTTGGGGATTTCCAAGCTGAAAACCAGGTCCTGATTCAGTCGGCCTGGGGCGAAGGTGAAGTTTGTATCTCTAACGGGCTCCCAGGTGTTGCTGATGCTGCTGGACTAGGGAAGGGAGGCAGGTGGGGGCGTTCAGGTGGATTCAGCCGGCATCCCAGGGGTATAAGAGTATAAGATAGCTGGGTGGTGGCCATCCACCACTTTGCGGGCATCATGGAGCTGAGCTATGGGCTCTTCATCTGCTTCCTGCTCTGGGGAGGCTCAGAGCTATGCTACCCCCAGCCCGTCTGGCTCTCGCAGGAGGGAGCTGGCCGCCCCACACCGTCTGCACCACCCGTGATCGTGGAGTGTCTGGAAGCCCAGCTGTTGGTCACTGTCAACAAAGACCTTTTTGGCACCGGGAAGCTGGTCAGGCCTGCTGACCTCACCCTGGGCCCTGAGGGCTGTCAGCCCCTAGTCTCTGCGGACACGGATAACGTGGTCAGGTTTGAGGTTGGGCTGCATGAGTGTGGCAACAGCCTGCAGGTGAGGCTTGGGGCCCCCAGCTTTGGAGGGAGGATGTGTGAGGTGGCTGGTGACGGGGAGTGTGGCCACAGAGCCCGTGGGAGGTGGGGTTGGGCAGGGAGGTGGCGTGGCTGAGGCCTAAAGCTGGCACTGGGGGCCCGGGCAGGGGACAGTTCCTGTCTCTGGCTGCTGAGATTGGGCAGGCAGCATAGAGTCCCGAGGTGGCAGTGTGCATTGAACCAGCCCAGACACCCCCCACTGTGACTCCTCTGAGTTTATGACACACAGGTGTGGGCGATAGGACAGCCCTAGAGGGTAGCCCAGGCACTTGCTTGGGGCATTAGGAACTCATTCTGATGAGAAAGACTTTCGATATCTTAGAAAGCTCAGAAGTAATTATCACAGGAAACACCCTAGAATCTTAGCCTCCCTCATTCATGTTCAATGGCTTGAAGCTTTGACTAAAAGTGGTATTGGGGGTGGGGGGGGCACAACGTTGACCTTTGTGCTGAAGGCCTTATGGGTTTCAATTGAGTCCCTTGGGGCAGCTCCAAGGGGTTAGCTGGGAGGCAGGTGCAGGAAGAGACCTCCGCCAGGCCAGTGGAAAGCAGATACTGAGACTGCGAGGAGGGCCTTCCAGCAGTGCAGGGCTAGGCACACAGTCCCCCAGCTTGTTCCTAATCCCCTGAACCACGTTCCTGTTGCTCCATGGAGGGCCTGTCCTCTCCTCCAACGTGGAGCCCTGGCTCCGGCTCCCCTGGCCTGGACCCAGTAGCTTGGCTGGGGCGGGGGCAAATCCAGCGCCAACGCCCTCCAGCTGGAGCTCTGGTCTTAGGTGTGGTCTCTAGAGTTCACCTTGAGGACTTGAAACCCTTATTTTCCTGGGGATGGAGACCAGAGAGCTGCAGGAGTTATCTGAAGAATTATTCTAACTTAGCAACTCCTAAGCCTTATACATTAGAGTCACCTGGGGAGCTTCTAAAAAATCCTGCTCAGCTGTACCGACACTAAATCAGATGGGCATGGGAGCCGGCCACGGGATCCCAGGTGATTCCAGTGTGGAGCACAGCCCAGCAACCCGCTCTCCAGTGTTTCCTGATCTTGCCCAATACAAATCACCTGGCAACAGGGCCAGCTTTCTAGTTGTGTTTCCTGTGCCGTCCTGTGGGGGCCCGGTGTGTGGTTTAATGTGCTCTCCTGCTCTGAAATCCGTACTAACTTTGAACAAGGGGCTTCACAGACTATGCTGCTGGTCCTGTTTGGGGCATTTGCTAAGAGATCTAGGACTGCGCCCTGGAGATCCAATCGGGGCAGGACCAGGCAGCCATCTGGGCCCCAGGTGGGGTCTCTTAGGCAGGCCCTTCCTCCTGCAGCCCAACTGGAAGCTGCAAACCTCTCTCACTGCCTCACACAGCCAGTTTCTCCTGTGAAGTGGGCTTGGGAATAGGTCAGAGGGTGATAAATGCCAACTGCTGTGCAGTAAGTTAAAGTTCCTGGCACTTTTTGGTTGTTTCTGGGGCTCTCTTGGCCCCAGGCCTTCCCTGAAGGAAATTGTGTATGTACTGGGAGAGGGGGTGTGGGAGACAGGGATGCACGTCCTGTTGCCTCCAGTGTCTGCCCTAGCTGATCCAGACCCCTGTGGTGGTGTCAACATCTCGGGTGAGAGCACTGTGGTGCAGAGGGGAGGACCTGTCTCGGCTCTCCTTAC